GGATGACTCCAGGTGGTGCTCCAAGAACCATATGGGATGTCGGTGATCTAACCCTGATCAGACACCTGTGAGGCAAGCAGCCTGCTCTAAATACTATATCTCTGGCCCCTTGGCCTTTATTTTAATCTAGTCTTTCTGAGAGAAATCCAATTCGGTTTAACAATTATAAACATACAATATTATTTGTTTTAATCTCCTAGGGGCCTAGGATAGTACAGCAATTAAGGTGCTTGCATACTGCTGGCCACAGTTAGATCCCTGGCACCAGATGGTGATCTGAGCATCACAGGAAGCAACCAGGAGAAGTCCCTTACACACACACACACACACACACACACACACACGCACACGTAGACACACACACATATAGGCACACACACAGGTAGGTGAACACACATACACACACACACCCACACACATAAGTAAATATCCCTAGGGGCTGTGATCAAACCTACATCAAAACTCCTCATATCGGCAAAGTAGACACTCTACTACTGACGGCTGACTCCACAAGTTTCCTCTTCCTCTTTCCTTTGATGGTGGTGGGAGACATCCAGTGATATTCATGTCTTACTCCTGCCTCTGTGCTCAGGGATCATTCCTGGTGGGCTCAGTGGGCCAGCTGAGGTTCTGGAGACCCAACCCAGGTTGGACATGTGCAAGGCAAATATCTGACATGCTCTGGCCTTGAGCTTCTCTGTTTTAAATGGGAAAATCTAATCAAGTCTCAACAAAAACTTCTCAACACCATAAATGCTAGCATCTCAAAGAACAGATGTAATTTCTCTGGCCGATACTTCCTGGACTCAATGCCTCAAATCATGATTTATGTTAATACCCAAGATCTTTAAAGTATTCACGAAGCTCAACAGAAAAAAAATCTAACAATATCATCTAAAAATGAGGAGAGGAGATAGACACTTTCATAAAGAAGACGTACAGGTGTGAAAAAGTGTTCATCATCATTTGTGATTAGTAAAATACAAATCAAAACAACAATGAGTTATTATTTCCTGCCAGTGAGAATGGCATCTATCAAAAAAGTCTTGAAGTAGCCATAGTTGGTGGGGTTGTGGTGAAAAATAAACCCTCATTAACTGTTGGTGGGGATATCATCTGGTTCAACCTTTATGGTTGATTTCTTAAAAAGCTGGAGCGATAGCACAGTGGTAGGGCATTTGCCTTGCAAGAAGCCAACATGGCCAACCCAAGTTCGATTCCTTCGCCCCTCTCAGAGAGCCCGGCAAGCTACCGAGAGTATCTCACCCACACGGCAGAACCTGGCAAGCTCCCCGTGACATATTCGATATGCCAAACACAGTAACAACAAAGTCTCCAATGGAGACGTTACAGGGCCCGCTCGAGCAAATCGATGATCAACGGGAGGGCCTTTACCTTTACCCTTTACCTTCTTAAAAAGCTAAGATTAGATCTCCCCTATGACCCAATGACACTGTTTCTTGGCATCTACCCTCAAAATTCAAAAACACTATTTCAAAAGGATATGTACACATCTATGTTCACTGCAGTGCTTAGCACAAGAGCCAAGATATAGAAATAACCCAAATGCTCAACTATGAATAAATGGACCAAAAAATTGTGGTGTATACACAATGGAATACTATGCAGTGGTAAGAGAGAACAGGATCATGCAATTTACTGTGATGTGGATGAGCTAGAGGTTATCATGCCGCCACTGAATTAAATCAGAAGGAAAGGGATAGATACAGAATGATTTATCTCATACATGGGAGGTAAAGATACACAATACAGTTCAACAAATAGCCTGAGGCAACAAAACTGTGGAATTGGTCCATAGAACTAAATTTATTGGCAGTGGGTTTTGAAATGCAAAGTCCTTTGGGACCCTGGTGGTACGTGAAGTGTTGGAATGATGTACCTATATAAAACCATTACTGGAAAGATGTGTACACAAAACCATCATTAATAGTACTATAAATCACAGAACCTCAAAAGAATTTTTAAAAAGAGACCTCAAAACATGAAAAGAATGGTATGTCAATTAAGAAAACTTTGAGTCTAGATTCATTATGTTGTAAATAAAATGTTTATGCTAATAACAATCTTGAAGTGAGTACATCGAAGTTCTCTAAGTTGTGGAAGAAAGAGGGTTTGGGTGAGAAACAAGGCACTGAGTTTTTGTGGTAAGACAGACTGAATCTTTGTCTGGCCCTGACTCTTATTAAAAAAGACCTTCTCAATATGGTTATTTAACATTTAAGGACTTTAGTTTTAATTTTCATTAAGAAAAATAATTATGCATTTCCCACCTCACTTTGTTTTTTCCCTTATATGAGGGACAGACAGGTTTGGAAAAATAAGAATGAATGAGCCTCATTTCTTTGGCTAAAAAAGAACATGTAAGTACATTTGAACAATAATAACTATAACTTTCATATGAAGTCATAGGGCTGGAGCGATAGCACAGCGGGTAGAGTGTTTGCCTTGCATACAGCCAACATGGCTGACCCAATTTCGATTCCTCCGCCCCTCTCTGAGAGCCCGGCAAGCTACTGAGAGTATCTCGCCCGCATGGCAGAGCCTGGCAAGCTACCCATGATGTATTCGATATGTCAAACACAGTAACAACAAAGTCTCACACTGGAAACGTTACTGGGCCCGCTCAAGAAAATCGATGATCAACGGGAGGACAGTGATGGTGATGAAGTCATACTATATTGTCATTTAAAATAATGAATAGATATAACTAGATTGTTGATGAAGACTGTAATGTATAGCTGGCTGAAAAAGCAAATTGTATAGCATTAAGTATAAAATGAGATAGTTTGTTTACTCTCCAAAACATGGAATTATAAATTGGTTGGTATGTTGGTGGATAATCTACAAGGATACAAAGTAAAATTTCATTTCTATTTATTTTAATAAATGACACACATAGTACCTTTGTTAGAATTAAATTATTCAAAGCAAGTAATAAAAGATGAGTAGGATATAACAAGATTATGATGAAAGACTATGGAAAAGATTGTATAGCATCGGGGCTGGAGCGATAGCACAGTGAGTGGAGCATTTGTTTTGCATGTGGCTGACCTGGGTTCGATTTCCAGTATCCCATATGGTCCCTCCAGCACCGCCAGGAGTTATTCCTGAGTGCAGAGCCAGGAGTAAGCCCTGTGCATTGCTGGGTGTGACCCAAAAAAGCAATAAATAAACAAATAAATAAATAAACAAATTATTGTATAGCACTAAGTAAAAAATGAGCTTGATTTTAAGTCACTCTTAAAAGCACGCAAAGTTTTGGGGCTGGAGAGATAGTACAGCAAGTAGTGCGCTTTCCTCGTGCACAACCAGTTTGGGTTTTATACCTGGCACCACATATGACCTCCTTATCAGGAATCACCACTAGCAGTGATTCCTGAGTACAGAGCCAGGAGTACCAGGAGTAACCCCTGAGCATCATCAGGTGTGGCCCAAACCCCTTCACCCCAAAAAGAGGAAACAAAAGAAAAAAGAAAAAAGCACAGAGTCATAGGCAAGTGTCTATTTGCATATAAGGGGAAAGATCTCCAAAGTTATAAAATGAATGTCTAGATTATGGCATTTATAACAGTAGGTAATGCAGTTTATAATAATAGATAATTCAGTAGCACTGTAGCACTGTCCCATTGTTCATTGATTTTCTCCAGCAGGCCCAGTAATATCTCCATTGTGAGACTTGTTGTTACGGTGTTTAGCATATCAAATATGGCACGGGTAGCTTGCCAGGTTTTTCCCTGCGGGTGAGATATTTTCAGTAGCTTGCCAGGCTCTCCGAGAGGGGCGGAGGAATCGAACCGGATAGACCTCAGGCAAGGCAAACGCCCTACCCACTGGGCTATCGCTCCAGTCCGGATAATTCAGTACTACATGTGTTTCTTATAACAATTACTTGTAACAAGTCATTAAGCTTATTGTTTATAGGTAATTTTCATTGATAAAATGTATTGCAGATAATAAGTGATTAAATTTTTTTTATTTTTAATTAATTAATTTATTTATTGAATCACTGTGGGAAAGGTTACAAAGCTTTCAGGTTTAGGTCTCAGTCATGCAAATATCAAACACATTTCCCTTTACCAATACTTATTTTTTACCATGAAGAACCCCAATAAAACCCCACCCCCCACCCCTCCCAGTCCCTGTGAGGCAGATGAATTCTAGTTAACACTCTATCTGCTTTGATTAGATTCATTGTTTCAATAAAAGATTCACCACTATTATTTAGAGTTTACCACCCCCCCAAATCAGACATGCTGAAAAAGCATTGTGAAGTGATTTGCTTTCTACAGCTGGGTTCAAGAATTAAATGTTGGTTTTGGATTTCTGCTATTTTACTTATTGACCCTGGAAGTATTTCTACTGAAAGTCAGATAGTTAAGAAATTGGTTTCTGTGCTCTGGAGTCGTGGCCGTGCTGGAGAGCCGCTTGTGGGGGGCAACTGGTGGCCTCCGTAGGGCGTGAAGGGCGGACCGAAACGCCCCCCTTCCCATGAGGTTTTAGTCGCCCCCACACCCCTGGCTTATACCTGCTGTCCACAAGGCTCCCATGCGGCCGCCATCTTTCTTTCCAGAGAGGAAAGGGTGAATGGGGCAACACCCTTTCCCCTCCGGACAGACATGATGGCCTGGATTAACGCATAGTCCGTTCACTTTTCTGCTCCAAGCTGCTGGGTTCTGCATTAAGTCCTTATGCTTCTGGGGCCGTGGCTGTGCTGGAGAGCCGCTCGCAGGGGGCAACTGGTGACCTCGGTAGGGCGTGAAGGACGGACCGGAACGCCCCCCTTCTCATGAGGTTTTAGTCGCCCCCACACCCCTGGCTCACACCTGCTGTCCACAAGGCTCCCATGTGGCCGCCATCTTTCTTTCCAGAGGGAGGAGGGCGGAAGGGAGCAACACCCTTTCCCCTCTGGGCAGACATGATGGCCTGGATTAACGCATAGTCCTTTCACTTTTCAAGTGATTAAATTTTTAATGTTACATATTTCTACCTGGCAGGGGAGATACCATGATCACGAAGGCGGTTTTCCCAGGTTGAGGCTTATCCATTGCACTCTGGATGTGCTGACCCCTGCGATTTCCCCAAAACTTGACTGCATAATTTGTGGTTGTGGGGGACTGCGTTCGCACTCTCCCCTGATATTACTGGTACTAAATAATAGCATGTGCTTTTGTTTTTAGTTTTACTGAAGCTCAGTTTGCTGAGAAAATTTATTAAAATGCTGATGATCTCTCACTATTCGCAGATGATATGGTACTCTACTTAGAGAACCCAATAACCTCCACCAAAAAACTCCTAGAAACAATAGACTCGTATAGTAAAGTTGCAGGCTATAAAATCAATACCCAAAAGTCCATGGCTTTCCTATATGCAAACAGTGAGAGAGAAGAAAGCAACATGAAAAAAACAATCCCGTTCACAATTATGCCTCAGAAAATCAAGTACCTAGGAATCAGCTTAACTAAGGAAGTAAAGGACCTGTACAAAGAAAACTACAAAACGCTACTTCAGGAAATAAAAGAGGACATGAGGAAATGGAAAGATATCCCCTGCTCATGGGTCGGGAGACTTAACATTGTCAAAATGGCAATACTACCGAAAGCATTGTATAAATTCAATGCAATCCCTATAAGGATACCCATGACATTCTTCAAAGAAATGGAGCAAACACTCCTGAAATTTATATGGAACAATAAGCCCCCACGAATAGCTAAAGCAATTCTTGGGAAAAAGAAAATGGGAGGAATCAACCTCCCGAACTTCAAACTGTACTACAAAGCAGTAATAATTAAAACAGCATGGTACTGGAACAAAGGCAGAACTGCAGACCAATGGAACAGGGTTGGATACACTGACATCTCCCCTCAATCATATATATGATCATCTAATCTTTGATAAAGGTGCAAGTAATGTGACGTGGAGTAAGGAAAGCCTCTTTAATAAATTGTGTTGGCATCACTGGATGGCTACATGCAAAAAAATGGGCTCACAACTCTGCCTAACACCATGAACAAAAGTAAGATCAAAATGGATTAAAGACCTCAACATCAGACCAGAAACCATAAGGTACATTGAAGATAAAGTTTGCAAAACCCTCCATGACATTGAAGCTAATGGTATCTTCAAAGATGCCACGCCACTGGCCGAGCAAGTGAAAACAGAGATAGATAAATGGGACTATCTTAAACTAAGAAGCTTCTGCACCTCCAAAGAAACAGTGACCCAAATACAAAGACAGTCTACAGAATGGGAAAGGATATTCACCGAATACACATCTGACAAGGGGTTGATATCCAGGATATACAAAATACTGGTTAAACTCCACAAGAAGAAAACATCCAACCCCATCCAAAAATGGGGCAATGAAATGAACAGAAACTTTCTCAAAGAAGAAATCCGAATGGCAAAAAAGCACATGAGAAAATGCTCTACATCATTAATCATCAGGGAGATGCAGATCAAAACCACAATGAGATACTATCTCACACCTCAGAGACTGGCCCACATTCAAAAGAGCAAAAGCAACCGATGCTGGCGTGGATGTGGCAAGAAAGGGACAGTCCTTCACTGTTGGTGGGAATGTCGACTGGTTCAGCCCTTCTGGAAAACAGTATGGACGATTCTCAAAAAATTAGAAATTGAGCTCCCATTTGACCCAGCAATACCACTCCTGGGAATATATCCCAGAGAGGCAATAATGTATAGTCGAAGTGACATCTGCACTTGTTTGTTCATTGCAGCACTCTTTACAATAGCCAGAAACTGGAAGAAACCTGAATGCCCAAGAACAGATGACTGGTTAAAGAAACTTTGGTACATCTACACAATGGAGTACTATGTAGCTGTTAGAAAAGATGAAGTCATGAAATTTACATACAAGTGGTACAATATGGAAAGTATCATGCTAAGCGAAATGAGTCAGAAAGAGAGGGATAGACATAGAAAGATTGCATTCATCTGGGGGATATAAAGTAACAAAATATGAGATTAATACCCAAGAATAGCTGAGATCAGCACCAGGAGGATTACTCCATAACTTAGAGGCCAGCCGGGTATCCTAGAGGAAAGGGCAGTTCAGATAGAGAAGGGAGCACCAAATAAAGGGTGTTTGGAGGATCCTCCCAGGAGGGGAGATGCATGTCGAAAGTAGACTATGGACTGAACATGTTTGCCACTCAATGCCTCTTTTGCAGACCACAACACCCAAAAGGAGAGAGAGAACACAGGGGATTGCCCTGCCACAGAGGCAGGGGGATGGGGGGATGGGGGTGGGGGGGATATTATCCATGGTGGTGGAAAATGGGCACTGGTGGAGGGATGGGTATCTGATCATTGTATAATCGAAACCCAAGCACAAAAAATTGTAAATCTACAACTGTACCTCATGGTATTTCACTAATAAAAAAAAAAGGAAAAAAATGCTGATGATTTGGGCATTATGAGGTTGGCATTGATAAAAACTGTGATGTTGCTGGTAGTATCTGACATGGTATTTTCATTTGTTTTGTTTTGCTTTGTTTTATAGGGGCCACATCGCACAGAAGTTGGGGGATCATGAGGTGCCTGGCATCAACCACAGGATCTCGCACACGCTAAGATTAGGTTTTACTACTTGAGTCACATCTCACGCCCTACACACAGAGTTTTAAATATAGTCTGTCTTCCAGACATGTCTAAGAATGGGATAAGATATCTTTGATGCAGTCAAGAATCTTTTATAGAGTCAGGGCTGCAAAGTGTCTGGGCATTTCTTTTCTAGTCTGAAGTCCTTTCCCACATCCAAATCTTTAAAGAGTTTCTTAACATACATTATTGTACGCAAGTTAGAATTACCAATGCAGCAGAATGGTACTGGGTTAGGGATGTTGGGAGGGAAACTGGGGACACTAGTTGTGAAGGGACAGGTGTTCGAACATTATATGACTGAAACCAAATCATGAACAACTTTGCAACTGTGCATCTCGCTGTGATTCAATTAAAAAATTAATAAATTAAAAAAATAGAATTACCAATGCAAAAAATTCTGGGATCATCACCTTGAAGAATATAGTCAAAAAACAAGGACACACTGGATCAAGTTATATGGCATCTCAAAATATCTCAGAACCCAATTTTAATTCATTTTCTGACTACCGTTATATAAGAAATTTCTTTCACTCAACATTAAAAAGGGGAAAAAAATCTCACCTTCAGAGCTATTATACTGGAAGCTTATGATTAAAGAAATTACAGGACAGCTTCCTGGGACTAATGACACCTGTGGAACAGAGTAAGCACATCAAGGAGAACAATGAAATGTTTGACTTGAGGGTTTTATATGCCCTGGCATTTTTGTTTCCCGTTGCTTATAATAATACCACATATACAGTTATTTAGCTCTTTGCAGTGATAAGTTCAGAAGCTCTGTACTAACATGAGTTTAACAGCTGTGAGAGCCTTGAATTGAGAGGTTATTTTATTTAAGTGACAACCATGGTTCTCCTCCTTTTTTAATTCTGGAGGGAGTTCATATTTTCTTAGTCAAGTCTGAGTGGAAGAAAAGAATGATAGCAGAATATTTCAACCCTCTATTTACTTGCCCTGAATCCCTGAAAATGACTGTTGGTTGCTCGAAAAAGCTTCCTGATGTGAGTCTTTGTGGACTTTCACCACCAAAAATTTCCAAATAGCAAATGCCAAGCAGCCCTACCTGTGTGTCCTTCATCTCTAAGAAAGCATTGCACTGCAATGAACATTGGTAAGCAGGATTCAATTATAGCATACCTTTAAAAGGTTTAAGATGAGCTGATACAGACCTCACAAATGCAGCAAGCAATGATTAGCTTAACAAGTAGAGGGAGGTATTCTCTAATTTTCTGATAATTCCTTAAATGAACTAAGGGAGTCAAGAAGCTATAAATTCCCAAGTGAAAGTGCAGAAATAGAACCACTTTATAACCTTTGGAAACAACCGGGTAGGTTTTCCTCTAACATGCGCATCATTCTATAAATAGCCACAGACTTTGATCATGACTCATACCTCCAACCAATGTACATGTGAATTTTGCAAGACTTGATAAAACATTCATTTCTGGGTTTTATCAAGAGAGAGTTTCGCTTCAGAAGGTTGGGGCCTAGAATTCTCCTCTATGATAAATTGTCAGAAATGCCCAGCCCAGGAACCACATTTGGAGAAACTTTATCCTGGAGAAATGAGAATTCTGCTTTTCTCTACATCATAGTTTGGGGATTGAATCTCCATTATTAAAATTTACCAAGATCTTGGTTATTTTTACAAATGACAGTGAGTCCAAATGATTCTCACGCTTTTTTTTAAAGTCAGTGCTTGGCAAGTACATCCCCTGAGCTAAAATGCAAGGACCTCTGTCTCTGTCCTTTGCCCAACTCATGATTCTGGAAGGGCTACAGGTGTGTGGCAAACATGTGGACCAGCTGTGGTGACAACAGTAGAGTCACACAAAGGTTCTTCTTAAATCCAGAGAAGGGAAACACATTTCCCCATCTCTGTGGCAGGGCTTGTCGTGCGTAGCTGTTTGGTGGAGGTTGTGGGAGGAAAGACAGGCCACTGGGGAGGTGTTGCTGTCTCCGAACTCTCAGTGGCACTGCAAATTATATCCTTCCCCCAGGTTAGATTGACTTGACTTGAGGGAGGGTTGTGTTTACAGGAGAAGCGCGGTGCCTTCCTGGGGCCGAGAAACAGCTCTGCAAACCTACCACTGTTCTTTTATGAAAGGGGATTGGTTTCCCTGTGAGGGTATGCATGCGTATGTGTTTAAGAAAAACCTCCAACACCTTAATTGTAGGTTTCTTAATAGCACTGTATGAAAACACTCATAGCTTACAAGCATTTATATAATCTCAATCCTTAGAGTATCTCTTACAGAGTTTTCTTTTTCTGATTCCCTCTCATTTATTCTGTTTAACTTCGATGAAATTCATTTCTATTCCTACCAAAAGTTTCCTGTCCAAGTGTCTCAAAAGTTCTAGTTGGGAGGATAAGCAGATAAGATTCTGGGGTCCGGGCAAGTTTGGTGTTGAATGGGATGAGCAACTCACTCTGGTCTATGACCATGGGTAGAGGGCAGACTTAGAGTTTGAACATAAAAGCTCTTCAAGAGGCCTTCTGAGCTGAATATGA